CCCCTCTGCGATCTTATCTCGAGAATATCTTAGGCCATTCAAGAAAGGCAACCGAGGTGGTTTGGACACGTTCTCCGTCGTCCGCCGCACGAGCTTAGCTATGCTGCCCTCGATCCGGCACTGCAGCCCACCTTGAGGCATTGAAGAGGAGGGCAACAAAAGACTTGGCTCAACACCGTCCGTCAAGCCACCGAAGCAGTTCTTGGACCTTCTACCTTCGGTCTCCGTCGCTGCAGAAAAGACTGGGGGAAACTCTCCAGATTTGCTGCCGCCAATCGTCACGCATGGCGAGGTGCCGTCCGTGACATCATTAAGGCCGGCTAGGTCAGGCATGATCACAGCCGTAACAAGTGCAAGTACAAGCAGTACGGATTAGAACTCAGTACAGTACACATTGTGCCTTGTGGAGTGTGCAAGGCAGTGGTGACTTGCGCGTGGACAAGGAGGCAGACTCCCATTGTAGATTCCGCGCTCTCGCTTTCAACTGCCTCGCATCGATGGCAAAGCCGTGCCAAACCACCCGAACATGCGCGCTGGGGTGCGCACGGGTTAAAAAAATGTAAGCGGGTGGACTACACGTACCACACATGGCCGCCATAATGAAACGGGCTATTGATAAAGATAAGTTGGACCTCACACGCATGATATTGACGTATGGGCTGTATGAATACAAGGGAGGTTGAGGGCTGCTAGATTAAACCATTTCGGCTTATTTTATGAAATAAAACGTAGGTACTTCCCTACATAAATGATATACGCCTTCATTTATTTTCTATGCTTATAGTAGATTAAACCATAGCTAAATGTCATAGCCCCATGCTAAGAGCTAAGACATTTGGCCCGCCATCTGCCGCCGTCCATATTGGTGGTCCGTAAACAGGTCACGAAAAGTAGCTTCTTCATATACCGTGCTTTATACTGTATGGTTTACGTCCACTATCCTCTCATCAGTCCGAACATCACTCTGATGCTCGTGGCCCCCCTCATACATTTCCGTTTATCGATGTAACCTTTGTGCCTCCGCACCGTCAAGTTCGATAATCTAAGTTTTGACTTCTCACAACGATGGGTTGTTGTAACTAGCTTCAATATTCATCAGTACAACACTTTTTTTGAACACCGTGTTCCTTAATCATCATAACATCTCCGAAAGCAAAGAACTTCAGGTACTCAAATTGAATCAATGTTTTACAGTCATGAATTCCCAGGATAGACCTAGATCAAAACAGTAGTCGACCTCCGTCTATTAGAAAAAAACACGAGTGAAGTACACTTGGTGTTCACTCCCCATCTCATCCAAAGACCAGTCTGGTGCAGTTTATTGTAGAGTCTGCTTAAACTACCGTTGTAATTATGCAGGTCAGACTGAACGCATGTTCGGATCACACGTACAAGATTATAAAGTGACTGTGCGACGGGGAGAGACTGACTATCACAAGTAGTTGCTCACACCTAAACGACCACTGATGAGTCCAGCTGGACAGCCGCTAAGTTAACTGCTCACTCAAGAAGAAAAAGAAGCCAATAATTGATCGAAGCCTGAGCCTCTGATGAGAATTCAGCTAACCGATGCCTGGATCTGGCACTCACATACAGAGCCCCACACCGTCATATGCGGCCCTATCCTTTGATTGGCGAATAACTTGCATAATTTTAACTGGTTCTGTTGCCACCTTCATCTCGAACTATGAACACCAGTAAGAATTCGAATGCTCAGGAAATTAGACAACTGGTTCCGTTGTTTGACCGCTCCCCCTCTTAGTTACAGATAAGTTGGCGGGTTGTCTGTGTGAGGGGGCGGGGTCAAACGGGTTTTACTAACAAAAAGGAGTGGTTGTCGCGGAAGCTGACAGGAGAAAGTAACAAACTATTTGCGATTACAGGAGGTTTGAGGAGGGGTAGGAGGGTGGGACACCTACCTGATGGACAGGTTTCAACGCATTCCCCCTTGTAGATCCACCTGCGACATTTGAGACAGACGCTCTCATGCGTGCTCGGACCCTCACAGACCTCACACAGCGGGTGGCAGGGAGCACACTCCCGAATGTCCAGCGTGGCGGCGTTTAGGTTATCCGGAGACAGATTCACGTGGGCTATCTTCAGCTCACTCAGATGCGTGGGGCGTCCATAGTGGGATGGGGGACAACCCTTGTCGAGGCATTCAAATCGCCCGGTTTCTGGATCTGAAGAACAAAAATAACGGAGGAGAAAGAGAAAGCCTTGGTTAAAAAACAATTGCCACTGCGAACGCTTCCGTCAACATGTGTCGATGGCTGCCACACGGCAGCAAAGTAAAGAAGAAGACGGGGCAGGTAACTAGTCGATTGTAGGAGCCTTTGGTATTCTTTTAAACGAAAACAGTAATTTAACGCCTCAACATCAAACAGATAGTTCATCTAGTGCAAAGTACATCACTACCTATATAGGTTGGGGCGATATAAATTAAAGTAAATCGGCTCCTATAAAGCCCAGAGTATTTTTTCCTATGGCATCGAGCAAATATGTATCCTAATGTACAGATCCGTACCCGGTCCGTGGCCTTTCGGCAAAATTATGGGTTTTTCCCATGCACGCAAGTGAATACTGAAATGTTATGTATTACCGACAAAGACATAAGGACTCTAGGATAGCCATTTCCGGCTCATTAGCCGTCGTCAGCTATAGTTACCCAACTCCAGTGTTGCAGCTGAAATTGCTGTCACACTCGAGTTTCGAACCCGCCGTCTCTCCGGTCAGAGGCAAACGCCCTAACCATTGAGCCACGAGTTCATTTTCTTTTTGCTTCTACTGAATACTGAAATATGATAGCCGCTAGTTCTAATAAAACGGAACGGTTCCGATGTAAAGAAGGTGAGGACTACAGAACTGGGTAGCTAAGGGTGTCTCCTTTAAGGAGAACACTCAAATGGAAGGTTCCAGTTAATGAAAATTTGCACAGTTTTTGTGAAAGGGATGAATTAGAACGACTGTAAAATCCTGTCACCCTGTGAAATGCTGTAAAACAGTTGGTTTTGCGACCAATGCCTGGGAAAGTAGGCTTCAGGTTGGTCTTGAGATTAAGGGAAGGTTTACGATTTAGAAAAACCTTAGGGCCAAGTTTAAGGCTGGTTTAGTGTTGGGACACCATTCCAACAATTTACCGCGGCGCTACCTGTATAATTTGGGCTGGGGATGTTCTCTATTTTGTCTATCTTGTCGATAGGGGGCCACATAAGCTACCCCAATCGAAAATCCTCCAGGCAAATTTTCAAGGGCGGATCTGCATCGCGCCAGCATTCTCGAGGCTTTGCGCAACCGCCCTACCAGCTTAGTTTCGTTAAAGTTGAACGCTGAAATAGGGGGGGGCTCTCAGAGCGGCGGTCTGGGAACAATGAGCCTTCTAAAGTCCACCAAATAGAACCTACCTTTCCTAATGAAGTGGCAAAAAGTGCAGCCACCGTTGCCGAGGAAACTGCCCGGTCCAGAGCAGGCGGCCACAGAGGTCGGCAAGGGGGTACTTTGGAGAGCATTTGAGCAGGTCGAGTGACAGGGCTCACACTCCTTCGTCGTCTCTTCGGCGTAGTAATTTCTTGAACATTGCGGAACGCACGCGTCGTTCTCCTATAGACACAAAAACCGAAAAGCGTTAGTCAGATCGTGTTGACTGAAACATTTAATAAAATGCGCGGATGGTAATCGTCAGAATTTAAAAACCCTCAAACGAACTGACACTGCGGGATACTTGATAAAGGTTCAACTGGCCAGGAGGGAATTAACTGACTGGAAAGAAGATTTTTTGAGCTAAAACAACGCGCAAGCCAAAGGGTAAAAAGGATCTGGTCGACTGATAGCATCGAAGAGGAGTTTAAGATTGTTGTAGGCCTGTTTCGACAAAATGGTTGTTCCAGTCGATTTATCGTTAAGGAAGACCGCCAAAGCCCTCGGTGTTAAGATACATAGAAGAGGCGAATATTCATCAGGGTCCCATGTCAAGGAGGAGGACCAGGCTGCCTTCTAAGGAGACGCCTGAGTCAAGCTGTAGCAACCACCTTTCCAGCAGCTAATGCCCATTTACTGTTCCGGACTACTCCCATACGGAGAGATGAAGGACAAACTGCCAGCCCAGACTACCTCTATGTGCATCTGTTGATTAATCTGCTTCCGCGGGGCAAAATATATTGGTTGCTCAAGCCGGTGTTTGTCCAAAAATGTACGAGAACACATTTCAGCATGGTTAGGAAGGGGCCAAATAAAGGATATAAACAGTTCCACTTTAGCACACCTGGTAGACTCAGACCATCGCCAGACGCCTTCGGAGTGATCTACATTGTGCCTTTCAAATTATTCAAAATTCCTTGGACAGCGTCTGTTGGCTACGACAGAAGCGGTTGCCATGAAGCTACGCAGACTGGTCCTGCGTGCCCACAAGAACTTCGTAATGGCGCCGCCGTTACCATGACCGAAAGTCAAGACAAGTCAAATTTATTAAAGGAAATATAGGCAAACGCCTTTGAACT